TCAGCCTCGTTGTTGGAGGCTTGGAAGTTGAATCTCAATGCATATTTTATGTTGTATCCCTTGGAAGAGGTCAGAATCAAGCCGACTCCACTTCCTTGTGCGTTTGAAGCGCCGCCCACATACAACTTCCATGCCAGGACGTCAAAGACACAATCTAAGTTTTTAGTCTGCTCTTCAGGTACTGGAGTTTTTTTTTTTTTTGGGAGGGGGAGAGGGACTTGAACTCTTGACCTCAAGAAAGCAAAGTCTTCACAAGGTAAGAAGTACCATTAGACCAAAGGTTCATTGGTATTCAAATACTGGAGTAAACTATGCCACAAAATCTGCTAGCACAAAGACACAATCCAAGTTTTCTGTCTGTTCTTTAGGTACGGGATTTTTTTTTTTTTTTTTGGAGGAAAACTTGAACACTTGACCTCAGAAAGGCAAAACCTTCGTAGGATAAGGAATACCATTAGACCAAAAACTCATTGGTATTCAAGTACTGAAATAAACTCTGCCATGAAATCTACTAGCATTTGGCCTTTAATCACTGCTCTAGGTTTGAACTTGATGTCAAATTTACTGAGCTCCATCGCCCATTTCACTAGTCTCCGGGATGCCTTGGGTTTATATAGAACCTGCCTCATTGGTTGATCAATCGGGAATTCAATGGTGTGCACTTGAAAATATGGCCTCAACCTCCTGGCTGTCATAAGAAGGGCTAAGACGAGCTTCTCCATCTTAGGATACTTATTTTCAGCCCCCCTGAAGGCCTTGCTGCAAAAATAGATCGGCCGCTGGGCTCTTTCTGTCTTTCCCTAGGGCGGCACTGACTGAAAGTCAGATAAGGCAAGATAAAGGTTTAAAACTTCTCCCTCTCGAGGGTTGACTAATACAGGCAATGAGGACAGATAGGTCTTCAGAGCTTGAAAGGCTTCTTCACATTCTTCATCCCATTGGAATGCGGCCTTCAGAACCTTGAAGAATAGCTGACACTTGTCGCTGGAGCGTGAGACAAACCAATTGAGTGCCAATATCCTCCCGGTGAGGCACTGCACTTCTCGGGGTTTGCTTCAATCCCTTGACTGTTCACTATGAACCCTACGAATTTTCCGGCTGAAACTCCAAAGGCACATTTAGCCTGGTTCAACTTCATCTTGTATCGGCACATGATCTCGAATGACTCCCTCAAGTGCTGGATGTGAAGTTCAGATTTAAGGGATTTAACCAGCTTCTCTTGAAACATCCGATTAACCAACTTTTGATAGGTGGCTCCAGTATTCTTCAGTCTAAATGACATAACCTGATAGCAAAAACTTCCCTACTCCATGACGAAATAGGTCTTTTCTTGGTCATTGGAATCCATTTTAATCTGATTGTAACCCGAGAAAACATCCATGAAGCTGAGGAGCTCGTATCCAACCGTGGCACCGACTGTCAAATCAATTCTCAATAAAAGAAAGCTATCCTTAGGGCATGCACGGTTGAGGTCGGTGAAATCAATGCAGAGCCGTCATTTCCCATTCATCTTCTTGACTAGTACCACGTTGGCTAACCAGGTCCGGTAATCGACCTCCCTAATTGCCTTTGCTCGTAGTAACTTAGTCACCTCTTCCTTGATCGTTTTCTGCTTCTCTAGAGCAAAACTTCTCCTTTTCTACCTGACTGGCTTGCAGTTCGGGTCAACGTTTAGCAAGTGCACAATTACTCATAGGTCAATTCCCTCCATATCTTCTTGTTTCTAAGCGAACACGTCAACATTTTCTTTCAAGAATAGGATGAGTTTGTTTTTGATATCCTGGAGCAGCATCGAGCCTACAAAGACTACATGCCTGTGGTCATCATCGATCTGTACGGGCTCCAGCTGTTCCAAGGGGGTTGGTTGGGTTTCCAGTTCGTCTCTCATATCTAAGTTCTTCAGTTGAACAAACTCTACTTCTCTCTGACACATAGACGCTACATAGCACTCCCTAGCGAGGCGTTATCTCCTCTCACCACTCCAACCCTGTTCTTCGTGGAGAATTTCATAACTAGGTGGTATGCCGACGGGATGGCTCTAATAGAGTTAAGGGACAACCTCCCGAGTAACACATTGTAAGCAGAAGGGGCGTCTACCACCAAGAAACAAACTGTAGTGGTAACTTAGCAGGGGTGGTCCCCTAGGGTAAGGACTAGCTGGATGGATCCAATTGGCAGGACCCCTCTCCCGAGAAGCTTAGGAGATAGGTTCTCACTGGTTCAAGTTTCGATCTGTCTATACCGAGTTGAACAAAGGCGAAAAGGAAGATGACATCTACTGAGCTTCCATTGTCGATTAGCACACGATGTACAGCCTTGTTCGCAATAATGGCCTTTACCACCAATGGATCGTCATGATAGTGCTGACACCCCTCTAGGTTGGCATCTAAGAAGATTATTTATACATCCCTGCGCGAGGCTTTCCTAACTGCTTGCACCTCACAAAAGTCATCTGAGCTCGCCCTCTTGGCATGTGACTATGTGGATGAGCTGGATTCACCTCTGCCCGCAAAGCCACCCATTGCGAGGGTGGCATGACCACTCGATCTTCTCTTTCTCGATCATTCTGTTCTCTTCCTTCTCAAGCCACATAGTGCCATAAATGGCCTCTCTAGATCAGGTACTTTATCTGCTTTTTTGGCTGAATGCAATCGTCGGTGTCATGGTTAATATCTTTGTGAAAATTATAGCATTTGGTAGAGTCTCGTCTCTTGGGATCAGATTTCATCCGTGGATCTGTGGTGACCACGTGATGAACCTCTCATTCTGGACCTCATGAAGGACCTAAGAGATGGAGGCAGTCAAGGGCGATAGCCAAGCTGGAATATATCTGGGTTGCAATTCCTGAGGTGGAGGTCCAAGTTGGTCTTGACGTTACCCCTCCGCTTTGGGGAAGGCTCTCTATCATTTTTGGGAGACCGATCACTCCGCGGGGATCAATCACGTTTCCTTTCTTTTCTTCAATGACGCTCTCTTTTTCTCTCCTTCACCTGTAGACGATGATCCTCTCTTTAAGCGTAATGCCTCCTCGCCATTGATGTACTTCTCAATCTTTGCGAGCACCTCAGCTATAGTGGCCTGAGGGTTTTGGTAATCGAAAAGAGGAAGTTCTTTGATTGGAGGCCGAGTCCTGACATGAAAGTGGTCAAGACAAATTTATCATCGATACTCTCTACTTTCAAAGATTTCTGATTGAAACATTGCACATAACTCTGAAGGGACTCATTGGGCCCTTGTCTAATGCTCAGTAGATGGTAAGACGATTTCTTGTAAGTTATGGCTCCTATGAAATGAGAAACAAACTATATGGATAGCTCCCAAAAAGAAGAGATCGAAGACAGTTGCAGTCTGTTAAACCAAGCTATCGCCGACCCTTTGAGGGTTATAACAAAAGCTCGGCACCAAATAGGGCCCAGATATCTGTGCAGTTCCATTTGGTTCTTGTATGAGTTCAAGTGATCCACTAGATCCATTGTTCCATCGAATACCTCTGCCTGCGGCACCCTAAACTTCTAAGAAAGGGGAAAATGGAGGATCTCAGTGGTGAAAGGTGATTCGGTTTGCTGAACTAAAGCATCTATGGTGACAAGAGTTTTTCCTTTAACCATTTCTTTCACGTTTCCAAGTTCCAGTTGATCTCACGAAATTTTTGCTCCCAAAAATGGTCTATGGCTTCATGCGGAGGCAGGGGTCGGTCTTCTCTAGGTACGGCTTTGGCCCGACTGTGGGCCTCATCGTCTGTGCATTACTCTATCTGCCTCTACCGGTGGTTTTCCCCTGAGTGACTGTGCTCGTGGAGGTCTGTAACTCTATTAGGTGGTATATGACGATCCTAATAAAAAATATCATTCTGGGTTGGAGGTGGAGGTGGAGGTGAAGGTGGGGGTGGGGGTGGAGATGGAACAGGCTACACAGGTAGAGCCTGTGGGAGATAAAGCACCTGTATCCACGCCACTAAGTCTTGATTCTGCTTCATAAGTTGTATGGTTGTCCACCGGTACGTCTCCAATTCATTGAGAGGTGGAGGGTCAACTGCCGGAGAAAAGTTCTCAACATCCGTTGCTAGGGCGGGGAAGCTCTCTGGTAGATTCGGTGGGACTTGGGGGTTTGAGTGAGATTTACTCATATTTCAAGTCAAAATCATCAAACTAACAAAGGTATAAAGAAACTCAAGGGAAACGATGAAAACCATTTCCCACAAATGGCGCCAAACTGATAGTGCTCAAAAATGCTCAGCCCAAGTCCAGAACAATGTTTAATAAGATGGGAGGTAGTGTAAATCTCTAAGTTAACTGAGAAAAATGTGTGATAAAGGGGGATCAAAAACAATATATAAGTGATTTACCCTAGTCAAAAGACTAGAGCTACGTCTACTATATTGGAGGCTCTTACTCCTTAGGGTTTATATTGCTTGAGGAAGAAGATTACAGTAGTTGTCTTAGCTTAGAGCTATTATGAACAGTGTCTTGTGAGTATAAATTTCTCTGATACCTCTTTTACATAACGTGATGGTGTTCTATTTATACAAGTGGTTTCCTAGGGTTTTCTCCTTCCTTTTGTTGCTCAAGTGGTCCCCTCCTCTTTGTCTTATAGTGATAGTCATTATCCAGACACAAATCGTATCTACGGTCCTTCAATGAAATGTGCGTAAATATTCGCTTTATCAGTGAGTGCGTGTTCAGAAGTTGTCCCCTAGACACGTGGCATGATGGAAGGTGTTCGGGATCTAGCGAATACAAAGCTCCTTGCGCCCAGGCTGCTTACTGCTAAGCTTGTCATGACTGAGCAGGATTGTGCCGACCTGAGCTTTGTTGGACTCCCTTCTTTGGATTATGGCTCATTCCTATTGCAGAGCAAATGGGCTGCGGAGGGGTCATTTGGGCTGTCATGTATCCATTGGGCCCATTGGATGCTCTGGTCTTTGGATGGGCAGCCCATACCAAAATTCTATCATTATCAGTTGTAGAGGATTCCTTAAAGTTGATTGTGATGCGATTTATATGCAAAACTTGTTTGAAGTAAAAATCAAGGTTGCTAAACCAACTTTGGGGTTCCCGTTCCTCACAACTTCTTTGAGCCTAGATTTAGCTGCTAAGGTGCACAAGGTGAAGTTTGGGATTTTGGGCAGGAGAGGATGGAATTGTTATAATGGTTGCAAACGTATGGTTGCTGATGGTAGCACGTTACCTTGGTGTACTAATCCTATGGTTGAAGATGATAAGGTTGGAAAGGAAAGGACTTGTGGCAGAAGGGCAATGGTGGTTGAACAGAGAAATGGTGAAACTAGTATGTGCTTGGATCCAATGGGTCCAAGTTCCAAACAAATGGACCAAGGTGAATATACCGAGTTAAAAGAGATGGGTTTGCAATAAATATGGTAAAAGCTTGAATAATAGTGTGATAATAAAGGATTCAAATTTTAAATCTGTCATTAACAAGGATACTAGGAGATTTACTGAGATTAGTTGCATTAATTGTGGAGGCTTATCGTGCCAGGACTAGGTAGTGGATATGGGCCTTGCTAAAGACAAAAGGATGGGTAATTTTTCTATTAGGCCGAAGGTGGGCTTAAAGGTTCTGGACCAAGTTAACTTGATACCCGATAAAATTTCCCTGTGAAGGATGGGCTTTCAGTAAAACAATTTGCCCCTTTATGTAAAGGTCCGATTAACAGTAGCACAGTTATTTTGGCTTATAAGATGAAAATGAGGGGACGAGACTTGGTTGAAGACTTCGTCGAGTTTATAGCTTCTCAAACGATTTATGGGAGAAGGGCTGAGTTTGACTCGAAGACTAAGAGAATGGAGACTAGGGCTGATTCTAGAAAAGGAGAAGGCCTTAATAGAAACATGCTATGGAATTTGGAGGAAAGACAAATGAAGCAATTGAAATCTAATCCCATCGATGAAAGGGATTTCGACAGAATCGATCAACTACAAGCTCTCAATGCTCTCCTCCTCAGAGATGCAAGGGGTGAAGAGTTAGAAGAAGGCATTTTTAATGCAAATGAGGTTCGATTTGAAGGAGACCTGTCCTTTAAGTGTAATGATTCACTAGCAGACCCTGAAGGAATGGAATGGGGAGCTCTTAGGAGAAGTCGAGGGTGGTTGATTCCCTTATTGGAATTGGGGAGTTGTTGGGGAGTTGTTGATGAGAAGGAGGTTGAATTCAATGCTACTAATGCCCAGGTACAGTCTGACCAAGAGCTACTATCTGGGAGGTGGCTTAAATCTCTGGATGGGTGTCTTGGGCTTAAAAAATCATCTAAAATGGGGGAATTCATAAGATGGGACTGGGAAAATGGAAAAATTATGGGGAACAGAGAGGAGGGGGGTTGTTAGTCTTTCTCTTTTTGATTCTCTGGCTCTTTCTAAACCTTGTGAGGGTGTTCCTGGGGATATTTGTTTGAGTCTTAAATTACCACAAGTTAGGGGACCATCTGGGGTGATTCTCAAGAAAATAGTTGTCTATGATAAATTTAATGCCACAGAAGTTCAGCCTATAGAGTCCATTCAAAACCATGTAGTTAGAGTTTCAGGGATTAGATCTTCTACTATTCTATGTTCTTCCCTGAGGGTTTAGGAGGGAGGAGGCAGTTTGGTTCTAGAATTTTTCTTTTTGATTCTCATTTTTCCATATGATTTTCTGGGATCTATTGTTAATTGATTTGGCTTTTCTGTGATTGATCATGAATTCTGATCAATCAGCACGTCTAATTCCCCCAAAACCTCCGAACATCAAAAAGAATTTTGCTTCGCTTTTCAAGAACCCTTCAATTGTTGAGAAGTCCTTGGAGATGGGTTCTCATATTGGGAATGGTGTTTCATCTTCTGTGAATCTTCCTTGTCTAGATAAAACCTCTGATATGGCTCCTAATCCTCATTTGGCTAATTAAATTCCTTCCTCATTCTCAATGCACTCGATTACCCAAATTCCTTCAATTACTCAAATTCCTCTAGAATCTGGTTATCCGTCGATCATTCATACCTCTTCGTCTATCATTGATTCTTTGTTGTTACCTGATTCTTCAAATACATTGGTTTCCTCTAAGTCGGTTCTTGATAATGTGGCGCCCTTGATCCCTACTGCAACCCTTAAGCCAGTGAAAAGGGTGGTGTATAATAATGGAGAGCCAGGCATGTATTGGACAGCGGAGGAAACTCAAGATTCGGCATCAAAGTTTCAGCAAACCCTAATTGGGAAGTGTGCCTATGGGAAGCCTTCGTTGGGAGTCATTTGTGAGTTCATTGCTACAAGATGGATGCCTAAGGGAGATTTCTCTGTGGGTATTTTGGATCCTTGTCACATTCTGATTAGATTCAGCCTATATGAAGACTATGTAACGACGTGGTTGAAAGACGCAACATATATAGAAGGTTTTTTGTTTAGATTTTTCAAATGGTTACCTGAGTTCTTGCCAAGAATTGAACCCCCTGTGGTGTCAATTTGGATTTCGCTGCCAGGATTACCTATTCATCTGTTTAACAAAGAGAGTTTGAGAGACATTTTGAATCCGATTGGAAGAATTCTTGTCATAGACACGCCTACTTTGCAGTTGACCAAGCAGAGGTGGCTAGGGTTTGCATGGAAGTCAATTTGTTGGCAAAGAATCCTTCTAGATTTTGGCTGCATTTGGGAGGTTCGAGTGGTCGATGGCAAAAAATCGTTTATGAAAAGAATGTGAAATTATGTTCTAATTGTCTGAAGCAGGCATGAGTTGGTTGAATGTTGGAGGGGTAGGAAGGAAGGGGAAAAGAAGGAGGAGGTTCAGATGAAAGATGCAGTGGTGGAAGATAAGCAGAAGTCTGCCTTAAAAGAAAAGCAAGCAAGGGAGTTGAAGGGTAAGGAAATGGAGTGGCAGACGGTGAAGGGGAAAGGGTTGTCGAAAGCTGTGCCTTAAGAATCTGGGCAAAAGATGTATGGTTTTTCTCTTGGAAGGGATTTGGGGGGAAAAGAATTTGAGGGGAATAAATTCAATTTACTGGCTGGGGAGCATTCAGGCAAGGATGATGTTCCTACTGTTGAGCCAGTGGAGGATAAAGGGAAAGAGGAGGATTCTGTGGGGGAAAAGCCTGATTCCCCTATAATTGTGGTGCCTTTGTCAGAGGAGAAGCATAATTTTGAAAATACTTAGGAGGAGGAGGTGAGTGCAGTGAATGGAGGGGTTCAGCAGGTGTTGGGGAAAGAATTGTTTACGCAACTTAATGAGGATAGCATAGATGGAGAGGGAAGGGGAGAGAAGGAGGTGGTGATTTGTGCTTTGAATATGCAACCTTCACTTTCTGCTGGCGCTTCTCTCTTTGTGGAACATCAGTATAGTGCAAGGAAAATTGGGGATTGTTCTTTGGATGATAATCTAGGTTTGGTGAGGAGCAAGGAACCCCCAGATAAGGGTTTTCTCTCGGATCAAGACAGTTCTAAATCATGGGCAGACTTGTCTGAGGATATAGAGTTTGCTGATTCATTGGATGCCCAGGTTGAGGATAGTCCTTCTGATGCAAGTACTAGGCGTTGTCCTAGAGGTAACTCCTCTTTGCCTTTGTTATGATGAATTTTATGGTGTGGAATGTTGGGGTGCAGGTAAGGAGGCACTGAGAAGTAGACGGACAAAATTTATTGTGATGAATAAGGTGTGTTTGTTGGCTGTAATTGAGGCTAAAATGATTCCTTCTAAATTGAGGAGTTTTGCTTTTGCTGTTGGTTTGAATTCATTCATGGTGACTGCTTTGGCAGGAAAGAATATGTGGTTGTTGTGGAATGAGTATGTGGAGGTGAAAAGTGAGTTAGAATTTAAGCAAGCCATGACAGTTTCAATTTCCTATCAGGGAGCTGAAACTGTTTTAATTACAATTGTGTATGCTTGTTGTGATCACTTGTTAAGAAGGCCATTATGGAGGCATTTGCAGTATGTCTCTTCTACCTTTTCTATGCCTTGGTTGATTATGAGTGATTTTAATACTGTTAAGATCCAATGAAAGGTTGGGTGGTGCTTACCCTTCTGTTGTGCAATGGATGATTTTGTTGCGTGTATCCATACTGAAGGATTAATATACTGTGGTTTTGAAGGGCGTTGTTACACTTGGTGTAATGGGCATCAGGGAGGATCTAGAATGTGGCAGAGGATAGATAGGGTGCTGATTAACACTGCTTGGGATGCTAAATTTCATAGTTCACAGGTTTTGCATTTGGCTAGAGGAAGCTCTGACCATTGCCCTTTGTTAGTTAAGATGGTGGACTCTGATAATCAGCAAAGGATATCTTATTTTAAATTCCTTGACATGTGGGTTGAGGATTCTTCATTCTTGCCATTGGTAATGGATAATTGGAATGGGATTTATGCAAGGAATCCAATTGAGGATTTTTTCCTTAAAATGAAATTTCTTAAGATTACAATTAAGAGGTGGAAAAAGGAAGTTTTTGGGAATATCTTTGATAAGATTGGTAGGCAGGAGCTAGCTTTGAGAGATGCAGAAAGATGTGTGGATTCTGAGTATTCTGCAGCTAATGTGGCTAGTTTGGAGGCTGCAATAATGAATTTGGAGGATACTCTCAGGTTGGAAGAGTTGTATTGGAGGCAGAAGGCTAATGTTAAATGGGCCTTACAAGTGGAGAGGAATACTAAATTTTTTCATGCTATTGCAAAAGGGAAAGCTGTGAGAAATAGAGTTCTGAGGATAAAAGGAGAGGATGGGGAATGGTGCTCTTCTGAGAATGATATTGCTCAGAATGCTGTCCCTTTTTTTTGCTAAATTGTTTAAGTCAGAGGAGCATGTGTTAGATGAAGATTTGTATGAGGTTATTCCTAAGCTGGTTAGTGCAACTGATAATGAAAGTTTAACTAGGGCTGCTACTTTAATTGAGCTGAAGCAGGTGGTGTTCTCTATGTCTGTGGAAAGTGCCCCTGGTGCTGATGGTTATTCTGGGAGGTTTTTTCAAGTGGCATGGGAAGTGATAAAGCTAGATTTGCTTAATGCTGTGAATTTTTTCGTAAATGGAGGGGAAATGCCAAGATCTGTGAATGCTACCCTTCTAGCTTTGATTCCTGAAGTGATCAAGCCTACTTCTTTCACAAAATTTAGGCCTATAAGCCTTTGCAAATTTCTATATAAAGTATTTACTAAAATGCTTTCCAATAGATTGGCTGAGCTTTTACCTGCCTTGATCTCTGAGGCCCAGCATGGATTCATTAAAGGAAGGGGGATAGGGGATTGCATTTCTTTAGCTCAGCTAATGGTGGGAGAGTTGCACAGGAAACTTGAGGCTGGGAATGTGATTGTAAAATTGGATATGATGAAAGCATATGATCGTATGGAGTGGGATTTCTTGAAGAAAACCCTGGAGTGTTTTGGCTTTTCAAGCCTATTTGTTTCCATTATTGGAAACTGTTTGAATAATCAATTTGTAACTGTTTGTTTGAATGGTCAGAGACATGGTTTTTTTCCTACATCTAGAGGGTTGAGGCAGGGGGATCCTATTTCCCCTGCTCTGTTTATATTGGCTGAGGAGGTGTTAAGTATGGGTTTGGCCAAGTTGTATGGGCAAGGTAGGGTAAAGGCTTTCCATGCAGGGAGGGGTGCTGTGCTGGTTTCTCATCTGCTCTTTGCAGATGATACTCTGTTGTTCCTTGGGGGAAATAAGATTTCTATGGAGAATCTTATGAAGTTCTTGGAGAAGAATGAGGGCTGTTCTGGTCAGAGAGTGAGTAAACCAAAAAGTTCTCTGATTTGCTCTTCTAGAATTCATGTAGGAAGGAGGCTGGTGTTGTCCAGAATAGCTCAGATCCCAGTTAAGGATTGCCCATTTACTTGCTTAGGTTGTCCATTGATTAGGGGGAGATACAGAGTGAGAGATTTTGAGGAAGTTGTTCTGAAATTCCAGGCTCGAATGGAAGGATGGTATGCTTGTTTGTTGTCCAATATGGGCAGGATGGTGCTTGTGCAGTCAGTATTAAATGCTGTACCTGTGCATTTGCTTTCCTGCTTGAGTTTGCCTAAGGGGATTCGTTCTAAATTGAACTCTCTGATGGCAGCTTTTGTGTGGTCTGGGAAGTTGGGGGAAAAGAGGAGGCAGTGGGTTTCCTGGGTTGATATTTCAAGGCCAAAGCAAGAAGGGGTTTTGGGGATTAGAAGATTTGAGGATATCCAGGTGGCTTTTCGCCTGAAGCAGGCTTGGGGAATCCTAAAGGGGAGGTCTCCTTGGGCTAAGATGTTTAGTGCTAAGTCTTTAAACGGAAAGCATATGTTGAGATGTGTGGGGCCTGGGAGATCCAGAAGTTTTCAAATGTTGCAACCTTTCTTTGCTTCTGTGATAGCCCATTCTCAGACTTTGGAGGGAAATGGAATGAATGTGGATTTTTGGCGCTTCAATTGGCTGGGTTCTGGCACTTTGTTGAATAGGCTGGAAGTGTTTCCCTTGAGCTTTCCAAGACTATCTGAGGTGTAGGAAAGGGGGGAATCAGTGGCAGAAAATTGGAAGTTTAGTTTCTGAGTAAATTAGGATGGAGATTCAGAATTCAGGGATTGGTTTAAGTGACAGAGAATCTTTTGATGTGCATTTCCTAGGATTTTGAAAAAAAACTGGGCGGACAAAAATCCACATTTTTTAATGGTGAAAATAAACACAGTGAATGCACATCAGTATGTAAACAAAGACACAAAATAAATTATTGTACAGTTGTATTGCCATTCCCATCTCCTTCACCCACCAATTTTTCTCATCTGGGGTATTTAGAATTTAAATTAGAGGAATGCTAACACTGACAATAAAAAGCCAAGCTTTATAGGTTCACTATTTCCAACTATTAACCCTCTTTGAGAGTATGAAAAGAAAAGAGACGTTGCCCCCCACATAAGTGCCTAAGGTATCCATCCCATGTCCCATCATATCTCGCAGTGATTTTTGATTCACTCTATGGAAAAAAAAATATTGCTGAAAGTTTTTTTTGCAAATCCACTATAAAACAATTTCTTTCTAATTAATTTATTGCCAATCTTGAAGAGTATTGTATGTTCGCTATTACTGAAGAAGTAAAGCAAAGGCAAAATCACCAAAATCTGAGATGGATTCTAACTTCACATTGGGTTTCCAACTGGTCAGATTGAAAAGGCAAATTGCAAACTTAGGCATAGAATAACAAAGATATTTAAAGCATCAGGGTAAACAAGACATCTTAATATGGGGTTTTCTGAATAATAGACAAAATATAGGTGGAAGACATATCAAATGGGCACATGGCAAAAATATCTGATTAACAATGACTTCTCAATCTCTTTCTTCAGCTAAAAGAATATGTAGCACTGCAATTCAAGATAAAACCACAAGTCAGATATAAATAACTAAATAGAAAAATAGAATCCATATCCACTTTCTGAGTTGGTAAAAAAATGCATGGACGGCTATTATAAGCTTAAAAGGATATATGATAGCTGCAAGTAAACTGCACTCAAGCCTGTCACCCACGAAGCTCTCTGCATTGTTATGGTCTGTGGGAACATGGAAATCCTTGTTCCACATAATGAAGAACACTGAAGTTTTTGAAATAAGAGCCATGCCAATCCACCAAAAACGGAACTTAGGCTGCTATAACTGTATATTTTTATGGGAATGGTGTAAAGAGTTTGAGTTCATCTCACCTGTGAGAGCCAACTGTTCTTAATGCAGAAATTACACCTTGTTGGCCTTCAAAATACCACATTGTAAAGCTGACTTGAAATAGCTATCTGGCTCTATACCCTTAGATGACATCTCATCGAAAAGTATTACAGCTCTATCCACATATCCTTGCCTGAAATAGCCACATAGGAGAACTGTGTATGTCACAATATCAGGCTCTAGACCTCTATCAATCATTTCATTAAAAAGGCCCTCAGCATCCTGAAGATTGTCTGATTTGCAATGGCTGTCAATCAAAGCAGTGTAGCATATAACGTCAGGTTCGATACACCTTGCCTTCATATCTCTGAAAAGACCACAAGCTTCTTGCAAGCAACGCACATGGCAATAACCCTTCAACATCCTCGTGTAGGTTACGACATCCGGAGTCAACCCTCTCTGAATCATATAATCAAACACCTGACGGGCCTTTCCCATATCTCCTGCAAGAAGAAAGGTAGATATCAGTTTACTGCACATAAATTTACAAGAGCCATCATCCGAAGCCAACATGTCTTAAACAACTGAAGAGCTCTGTCATTCTCACCTTCCATACAAAGATTACTGAGAAGTTTTAGGCAAGACGTCTTCCTCACTAGAACTCCTTGCTGTCGCCTATCAAAAAGTTCAAAAGCCTCTTTTGTACTATTTGCTTCAGAATACCCATTAATCTTGGCAGCATAATCATCCAGACGCCTGACTTCCAAACAACTCAAAAACATTTTGGCTTCCTCCACCGTTACTCTAATACATAAGCCTTCAATGATAATGTTGTAAGTAATAGGGTCAGGTCTCTGCGCCATCATATGATCCAGAAGGTTAATTGTCTTTTGTGCAAGGCCATTTCGAGAAAATCCACTGGCCAGCACGTTAAAAGTAACAAAATCAGGTTTTAGACCCTCATCCTTCATATTCTCAAATAGGTTCAGGGCATCAGGAAGTTTCCATTGGTTACAGTATCCATTCATTAAAGTGGTATAGTGCACAACATCTGGGACGATCTTCTGACCCTTCATCTCATCAAGCAACCTCACAGCTTCTTCCATCCTCCCTAGTTTGCAGAACGAATCAATAGCAGTATTGTATGTGACTCCATCAAGAAAAATCCCCAAGTCCTTAAACTTCTGAAAATGATCTACCGCCTCGGAAGCCAAGCCCATCTGACACAAGCACTGAAGAATGGAGCTCAAAATCATGCAATTAGTTTTGATACCCTTTGCTGCCATTTCTTGGTGAGCATCCAAAGCTCTAGCTGTACTTCCAGACTCACAATACCCTTGAATCAGAGCACCATAACAATATGCATCAGGGACCAACCCTTGATCTTCCATGTCAAGCAAAACATCCTTTGCTTCTTTTAGTTTCTTCTCCCTGACAAACCCACGAATCACAACGGCATAAGCAAACATATCAATGGGGGCGTTTTCTCCTCTCCACTCTAACAGCATTTCATAACCCAAAATTGTCATTCCATATGAGCAAAGCCCTTCAATAAAAGTAGTATAAGTGAAAGCACTAGGGGCGACTCCAGCTTTCGTCATCTCTTCAAACACTTCAAAAGCTTCTTCCAAACTACCCTTCCTGCAATATGCCTTAATCAAAATGACATAAGTATAAACATTGGGGCTCAATCCAAGCCTCTTTAATTGCTTGTAAATAGACACTGCCATATCCACTTTCCCATGCTCAACCAACCGATTCATCAGAAAATTAAATGTCAATATATGCGGCAAAAATCCACGCGTTCTGAACAAAATATCTATGGCCTCATAAAACATGCCAGCACTAACGTGCAACTTAACCAATGCATCAAATGCTTTAACCAACGAATTTGGCCCCTCTGCCAGATGTTCCTTTTCCAATGCTTCAAACAAATCTGCAATATCAAAACCCAAATGCCCATTTTTTGACCCAATAACCTCAAACAATATAGAATCCAACCTCCTATCCATGCCCCAAGAACATAATATCCTAATGATTGCCATGTAAGTTCCAACATCATGTTTAAACCCATGTTTTTTCAGCTGGGAAAAGAAAGACAAAGCAAGAGAGGGTTCTTTTCTCAAATCGTTGAGAATTTGTATGACTTGGTGTGTGTTCAATTCAGAAAATTGCTCAGCCACACTAGCATTCTTCTGGATATGCAAAGTGTTTTCATCAGAACTTGAGTCAGATAAGTAGGGGGCCAACCGAGCAAGTGACGAAGCGCAATTGAATCCGACAAATTGACTGTGTTGGACCAATTTTCTGCAAGAAACTGACCTGAGAGTAGAAACCCACATAGAAATTCATATGCACGCAAGAATATGGAAGCTTCAGTTGCTGTTCTTTCTCCTTTTCAATGAAAAACATAGCCTGTGGAGAGAGAGAGAGAGAGAGATCTAGCTTCTGTTGAAGCTGAAGATTTTCAACTATCTGCAAGGTTTTAGCTCCGGGAGTATCTTAAACCCTACGAACGAAAACGAGTAAGAATATGTTACCACTATGGATAACCCGCGGGTGTAACTAAATAAAAATTCATTGAATTTGAATGCGAAATACTCGAGCATGGGATAAACTCGTCGTCCTCAAGTGCCTTCAAAGGCATTGTATATAATTTTTAAACACGAAATAATCAAACAATAAATATAAACATGTATTAAGCTTAAAATTATTTGATCATTTTTAATGTCATAACTTTAATAAAATAAAAATGGTCAAAATGTGAATACTTTGTCAAAATTTGTTTACTCTGATTCAAATTATACAACTAACAAATAGAAAAAGGAAAAAATGTGAATATACCTTAATGTGAGAGACAGGGATCTAATTCACCTATGATAAAACTAGGGTTGCATCATTCATTTCATCTTCCCAGGGACAATTTTTAAGTGTTATCAAGTTTTCAAGATACATTCATTACCCTTTCTCCACGGGAGAAAATGAAGCTTATATTTACCAGGAAAAAATGAAGCTCATCAAACAAAAGGACCCTTGAGCTAAAGCAACATATGTATTGACCCAAAATCCACACAAATTTTATTCCTAACCAAGCAAGAAAAAAAAAACACAAATAAATGCAAATATTTTTAAGGGGTTTAGTGACTTGTTTGAGGTTCTTAAAGCTTCATCCTATCAAATGCATTGAAACAACTGCCTCAAAGCAAATATGTCCCAGAATGACACTCCATCATCTGAAACAGAGCATAAATGGACAGCTCCGTCAAGTATAGCTCATGTTGAATTGAACTACATAAGTTATTGTTTCACATAACAGCAACAGCAATGCAAGACAGCAGAAGTTTTCCTTACCGGTCCCTAGCAATCTCTTCGGCAAAAGAATTTCCAATTTTGTCATTGTAGAGGTCTGCATTCCCACCTGAAAATGGTTCATAGAAATCATCATGCATGTGCATAAAATGGAAGGCCACCAAAAAAACATTCACAGAAAATTACCAGCAATGCCAAGTGAAGTATGCCGGCTATTCACAAATTTTATCCAAATTACACAACTAACCAAACAGGAAAAGAAAAAAAAAGAACTAAAAGTCACTTATGCAATCTTTCCAAAACCATCACCACCTAGCACCACTGCAAAAAATGCCCAAAAGATCACAACAAAATTCAACACAATAGATTAAAATCAAAGCAAGATTCATCTAGCTTGACATATTTGTTCACTAAATATATAGCAACAAGCCATGAACAATTATGAGAACTCAACAAATAGACATATTAGTACCCTGTAGATCATCATTTAAGCATTAATTTTTTTTTAATCACAAACAAAATTTTCATTCTATTCTTGAAGAGAGTAATTACAATCTTTTGATTAAATATCAGCTAACTCTTGTGGTTGGCCATCTATCCAAGATAATGGTAGATTTTGAAATAGACAAGCATTTGCTACCCAATGGGCCGTATTATTAAAAGCTCTAGGTGTATAGCAGAAAGAAAGTTGTAACTGTCTCACACATATCCGAATATCCTTGATAAAAGGTCGTATCTCCCATGGTGGATCATCCTCATTGGTACAAAGTACTATTTCCTGCAAGTTATCACTCTCCACGATTGTTTTGTTCAGTCCAAGGACTTGCACCATCACAGTTGTTTCTCGTACCACCACTGCTTCTGCATACAAGCTTGACACTGTTGGGATTTGCATAGTTTTTCCATTTAGTAAGATGCCTCTTTCATTTCTGATCACAATTCCAATTACTGATTGTTGTTGGTGATGCTTGACAGCTCCATCGCAATTAAGTTTCAGTTGGTCACTTGCAGGAGGAACCCATGAGTTGGTTGCTAAAGAGTCAATAGTTGTTGTTGGAGGGCTACTCACCATTCTACTCCCCATGGAGCTGAAATCTCCCCCACGGACTTTATGCTTGAGAAATTACAATTAACATATAATACACCAAACAGTTACTTATGTGTTCTGATAAACCAAATAGTTACATCAAATAATTATACAAAATTACAACACTAACTCAATTTGTCATTTAATCGTTTACAAAAATCAAAGAGTTACATCATTTAATATCACGACATTGTTACACCAATTATATACACTAAATTGGGTTTATCATTACACAAGAGAGTTTACCATTATACCAATTTTGGTGTATACAATTGGTGTAATCATGTAGTGATATTAAATAGTGTAACTTTTTGGTTTATGTGAACAATTGAACGACAAATTGAGTTGGTGTCATAATTTTGTATAATTGTTTAGTATAACTGTTTGGTATATCAGAACATATAAGTAACTGTTTTGTGTATTATAGATCAATGGTAATTGATTGGTGTAATTGTGTTGTTGTAACGTTGATATAAAGAGAGAGACAAAAAATAAGGAGATAGAGTAACAGTGAGAGAAAATATGGGAAGAGAGATGAAAAAATCAATTACATATTTGAAAAGAAAATAAATTATCAATGTGAGAGAGAAAAAATGTGATGTCCCTAAAACCAGGGGTCTTTTGTCAACCCGTTGATCACCTATCAACCTGCGGAAGTACCTGTGAATGTCGTGTAACCCGACACCACGTCATAACATCTCCTTCACCGAGATCATAAATAATATAGAATTTTGGCAGAGTCTCCCTTTTACCGAACACTCTCAAACGCATAACATGTATACATTTCAATCACTTGACCATTTCAAGATCTAATATACATCAATTTGTCCTTAATATTACTTCATTTATATCATTTGAACAAAAGGACTCAAAGCCCGAAAATTTGGCAAAATTATGGAGGAGCAACCAGTAGCTCATGTATGTGCTACTGCTAGCTGAGTCCTCATGGATTCTGCTACCAGTAGATGAGCCCAATTTTCTCCCATTGCATTCATTTTTCAATTTCAACTCATCCAATATCACACAACATTCACACAAATTCATATAAAATCAAATTATACTCAAAATATAGTCTATAAAGGTTCATTACACAAACCTTTAAACAATATTACATGTCCAAAAACTCATTACATAATTGTTTTACAAAAATGTAATCTAAAGCCACAACTCGAATTTCTTCATCAACGAGGACCCAAGTGAGAACCGTCAACTGACGCTTGTCCCACACCTGAAATGTTATCCCCATAAAAGGTAAGTCACGCTCACTAGAGTATCTCCTAAAGAGGCTACTCTCCAACCTAGATGTATATGAAATGTTCACATGCAATTTGACAAACAAACAAACATTCATCCAAGAACATACAACTTTAAGAATGAATGTCATAATATCATGCAATGTTATGAGGTGAGACTCACACATGCAACACAATTCGAGCCTTCATCGGCTTCCATAATACATGCAATGTCATGCGTATGAATTCAGGCATTCCAAGCCTCCGCCATTGATGTTGCACAATCAATGACCATTTATAAATCTCGGTCTTTCTTGGGATGGGTATTTATGGACTTCCACCAATAGCTCTGTATATGCCGATACACTTTATGGACTCAATACCAATGAAGTGTATATCCAAATCACTAGGTCTTGCACTTGAGAGATAATCTAGCTCTTCTTGCTAACCTTGACTCTATTATCAATACAACCCCTACGACTCAGTCAAACATAAGTCCGACTTTCTCGAGCCTACACATCATCCACCAATAATAGTGTTTGATCAAAACCATGCACACACCCACACCTATGTCACATGCCCACAAATGTGATGTTTCTCGTGCATATGCAATATAATGTATAATTGTATTTCATATCATTATGTAATCAAGATTTCAATTGCAATTACAACATCATGTTCAACATGTCATGAGCACAATATTAACAATTCTAATTCCTTAATGTAACTTATATCCTAAAGCTTATATTTACATTCCAACATCATCACATTCCCAAATTGTCAATTATATCAAAAACATATAATTACAATCCATATTCTCACCAAGCATGTTACAACATTTTCAATGAAGCAAACATGCTACATCAACATAGACATTTTATCAAACACCCAAAAGACACAAAATCATGTCCAATTTATCACATTTCTCATTGATTTACCACACAAGCAAATTTCACAAAATCAATTCATGCAAGATTAGTTTAACGCATTTTTATACCCATTTTTCATACTCTAGTTACACTAGGAGTACATCAAATAAAAGAATTCATTTATAATCAAACTACCCATTTCATACGCAATCCTAGGTTGAAAATAAACCTAGTTAGGAGAAGAACCCTACCTCTTGAAGCATAATACAAGTGGTAGAAACTTCAAGAAACCCAAATCAAGCTTCAAGCCTTAATTTATAAAAATCTCATCTTTGAGACTTTGACACAATCTCTGATTTTTGGTACGTAGACGTAGCTCGCTGAGTAGATGAACTTTAGTTCTTGGCCCGAATCGATTCAATGAACAGTTGGCCCTAGATCGTAGAGAGAAACTTGAAGAAAACCTTGATTCTCTCTCTCTCTCTCTTCTTTCCCTTTCTCTCTTTATCATAAATCAGCTGGGTATTGGGGAGAAAATCTGATTTTTCTCCCCTATTTATACTGTTTGGATACTTAGCCCACAACGCATCACACGTCTTGACTTTTTTTGATCCATTTTTATCCTGAATCAATTAAATCTCATTTTATGTTATGTTCAAAATATTTTATTTAAACTAACTTTAAATTGTTGCGCAATGCCCAATCGCATAGTAAAAAGTGAAAAATTCAACTATCTCAAAATTCAACAAAAATTGACTGAGTAACTAGATTTCGCAAGACGAATTCAACGATAAAGTCTGTTTTATCATTCGAGTTCTATAAAAATTCATATTTTTAACCTGTACTCTATCGACTAATTACCATTTTGCCTTTTTTCATAAAAATTTAAATTTTTCTGGGTTTTATAGAGAAAATAGTGGAGAGATTGGGAGAGAAATAGGGGAGAAAGAGTCCAAGAGTAATGGAAAGATAGAGAGGGTGTGAGAAATAAGGGCAGAGAGAAAGTAAAAGAATAAGAATTATACATAATTTAAGAAAGGGTAAATAAATAAAAGGTCATTTGAATTTTGTACCTAATCACAAGATATTTCTTAAAATATCTCTTAATAGAGTAAGTAATTTATCCATATACTTCCTTTCAAATAAGTCTAAAAAAATGTACCGATACCCAAAAAAACCATAGAAGTAACCCTTGTTTTGAAGATGGAAATCCACCATATGAATTCTTGGAAAGTAAGGCCCCTTAAATTGCGACAAAACCCGGCCCAAGTATACAGGACTTCATAAAAACAAGCTCATCCTAAATACATGATCCACCTACTCTTACTGCCCATTATCAAGCCCAATTTGAGTTGACAAACCCACCTAACCTAACATCTAAAATAGACCAAATAACCCATAACAAAGAAATATTCTCGATAGCCATAGACTAGCCTTGCACCCAACCTTACCATAACCTAGTCCAGCATCAACACCTACAAAACAATAGCTACACAAATTACTTGCCAGCCTCTCCCTCACTGGACTTCCTATATACAACATTCTAAAAGCTCCCCTTTAACAAACCTTTTACATACAGTTAAATCTATCCTAATCTATAACCCAAACAAAATTGTGGACCAGTGTATGACCCTTGTTTTTTAGAATCCCTCCTTGTAAAGGTAGTTACCAGAGGACTGGTCAGAAAATAGAGCTATGAAAATTCAAAATGAGGCTGAGAGGTATCTCACTTTGGAACCTAATAATCAGATAAGGGAATCAAAAACATAGTTTCACAAAGAATTAACATTTCAGTGAAGGAAAAAATAACTCATGTGAGTATAGAGAACAAGAGAATGGTGTAAAACAGCAGAGGGGCTTCTTTGATCAAAAACATTCTTTGCGAAGGTTCAAAGGAAACAAATCAGTCAAGCAAGTTTATTGTAGCAACTCTGATCAATTAAGAAAGGTGACTATCGAATGGTCAACTAAGATTTCAATAATGGCTGAAGAGGCGGGCCGTACCATGCCCCCACCTTCGCCATGAAAATCATAGCTTGTAACTGTCAAGAATTAGGGGCATCTTTGACATTTCTTGCTTTTGAAGGACCTCTATGTCCAATTTATGCCTTAAGTAATATGTCTAAGTGAAACAAAAAATGAAAAGAGAAAATTTTGATTGAATAAGAAGAGAACTACACATTGATAACAAAGTAGTGGTTAAGCTAGTGGGTTTTTCTGATGGAATGTGCATCCAAATATAAAGATCTCGATTTTCCCACCACCTCAATTATCATTGGAAACTTTTGGGTAAAGCAAACACTGCTAGATTTGGGTGCGAGTGTGAACCTTCTTCCATATTTCATTTACTAGTAGCTAGGACTTGGGGAATTGAATCCGACATTCATTACACTCCAACTTGCAGATAGGCGTGTGAAGATATCAAGGGGAATAGTGGAGGACATTCTAGTCCAAGTGGAGAAGTTTTACCTTCTAGTTGGTTTTATAGTTCTAGATACTTATCCTGTTGCAAACCCTATTTCTCAAATTCTTGTTGCAACATCTAACATCCTAATTAATTGTAAGAATGGATTCATGAAGCTGACTTTCGGAAACATGACATTAGAGTTCAATGTTTTCAACATTGGCAAACAACCAGAAGATGACGAAGTGGTTCACCAAGTGAATCTTATATACACTATCATAGAGCAACAAGGAGAGGGGTCAGTTGGGAAAGAGTTGGAGGAGATCTTTTCTATAGGCCTAGGTGCCTAGATTTGAAGAATTACCATCAGTTGATAAAAGAATCCTACCATCCACTATTCAACCACCATGGCCAGAGTTGAAGCCACTCCCATCTACACTAAAATATGTTTTTTTGGGGAGTGAAGAAACTTTTTTGGTGGTAGTTAGTTCA